GGGGGCGGAGCATCTAAGAAAGAACGCCGCATTCCGTTGGGCGCGTCGGCATGGGTCCGGGACGTCATCCACGTGCTTGCGGGCTTTGCAGCGGGCGCCACGAAGGCGTCGGCGGCGTCAGCAGTACGCGTCAGTAGCCCCCCGGTTGACCCATCAGCTTACGCGTCGCACGCTGCCTTTAAACGGGCGGCGGCGCAAGCCGCGTGGGCGGGCCGCCATCGTGCCTTTCAGCGCTTCTCTGACCTTCGTGCCCAAAATCCAGGCCCGGCGGACGGCTTCCTTTCTCAGTGCTTCGGGTCCTGGAATGCCCTTCAGATTGCTCTCGTCGACCCGGTCGACGGGCGCCCCCTCGATGTGGAAGAATCGCTCGCGCTCTTGCAATCCGACTTGACAGGCCGAGCGCAGGGTGACTTCGATTTCGATGCGGCGGAGCAGCAAGCGCAGGCCCGCGCGGTCTCGGCCATCAGGTCGATGGGCGGGGGGCCAGTGCACGCGCGCATTGGTCCGTACTCAGTCGAGGAGGTGGACGCGGTGTTGGACAGTTTAAAAACGACATCCGCCGCGGTCCGTGGCTGCTTCGCAGCTGTCCGATCTGCGGTCCCTGCGGGCCGCCGGGTCGCGCGTGCCCTCGCTAATTTTTCCAAGCATTGCGCGCTCACGAGCACCCTGTGGTCGGCTCGCCAGGCCACGCCTCTCCATAAGTCGGGGCCCCGCGTTGTTCGGTCAACAGTATGCCTCCGGCCGATTTCTATCTCGGCGGTCATGACATCCGTTGTGGATGGGCTGTGGAACTTGCGCAACGCGCCTTCGCTTGAGAAGTACTGCGGGGTTGCGCAACAGGGCGGCGTTGCGGACCCGATCTCCCTCCTCCTCTCCCTTCTCCTCCACGCTCAACTTCGTAGCGCCCAAGGTCTTGCCACTTATTGGGCAGTTACGGACCTCCAGTGGGCCTTCAATGTGGCGTCTCATCTCCCCATGCTGCTCAGTGCTTAGGCGGGGGTGCGCGGTGACGACTGGCTTCTGCTGGATGATTTCATGTCGTCTGACGCGCAGTGCATCGCGCTCCGTGGCCGCGTCTCGCCCATATTTTCCCTCGGTGGTGGAACAGCCCCGGGGCGTAGATTCAGTGCTGGCGTTTTCAATGCGCAGCTTAAGTGGCTGGCTGAAGAGGTACATCGTGTACTCCCAGGTAGCTGTGCTGCTTGGGTGGAACCCCACCTCCGCCAGCAACCTCCTCGCCAGGTGCTCTCCGCGCAATAGTATCGCGTGAACCTTGGTCGGCCTGCCCCCAGCATGCGAGGCGCACCCGTTCTCAGTTTAATTACAAAGCGGGGAAAACAGCTGCCATGGCGGTCCTCGACAGCCCTTCTCCAGGAGACGTCGGCTGCCCAGCTGTAAACTTGAAGGCCATGCTGGGGGTTCTCTTTTTGATTCACGACTCACGTTTGGTCCAGTGCTGAAGGCGACAGTGGCCAGAGGGAGCGAGTTGTTCGAGCCCTTGTTTTCGCAAGTGAGACAGGAGGCTTTGGGCCCTCACAAGTGTGTGTACAGGTGCCGCTGCGCGTGGAGTCTGCTCTGCTTTATCCCTCCCCCTTCCTCTTTCTCGCTCGCCGTGTTCGCTTTTCCCTGGACTACATGCAAGCGGGGTGGGCCCGCCGTTGACTCGGTTGTGCTACTGGCCCGCCGCTCCCTGGCCCAGTAGTCACTGTGCAGAGTGGTTGGCACATGCGCCCTGGCACCAAAATGGTTGAGCGAATTCTTGACGCTTCGCGCATCCCCACCAACCCATCCTACACCAGGCACTCGAACGAAGAGCGCCGATGATCGGCAGCTGTTCTCCCCCCCTCTTCCTCCTTCTCCTCCGCCTTCTCCTCCGCCTGCTCTCCTCCTCCACCTCCTCCTCGTCCTCCTCCTCCTCCTCCTCCGCCTCTTCCTCCCCCCTGGTGGCGTATTGGAAGTGTCTTCGAACGTTTTGGTGGGCTCTTGGGCCTTGCGGGCGGGCGGGCGGCGCTCCGCCCGCCCGCGCGCAGGGCCCGAGAGGGGGCCCAAGACGTCTCTCGGGGCCATCTTGGAGGAGAGCCATCAACGAAGGGGGGGCCCTAAATTTCAGCCCCCCCCTCAGGAGCCACGATCCTCGTGAAGGGTGTCGAATTTTAGCCCTCGCAGGGGTCGATCTTGGACGCTCTGACCGATCGCGGCCCCCCTGCCCAGGTCAGTGGGGAGGGGGTAGGGGGAGGGGCAAACCCCTCCCCGAAGGGGAAGAAGCAGGGGTGGATGAGGAAACGCTCTAAACCACCGACGCCCAGGGGGCTGATGGGACTATCCTCGCGCGCGCAAGCCAATGCCTGGTGAGCATCCTGGGGCTACCATGCTTCAGGTGGCTGAGAGCACGCGCTGCTCCTCGCGGGCGTCTGCCGTGCGGGCGTGAATGAATTCCGTGAACCCTCCACTCCCTGACGTAGTTGAGTACCTTTGCTGGGCAGCAAGCTTGCGCAAACGCTCGGACTGACCCAGGGGCTCGCCGGCAGCTGTTGCGCAGTTACAAATTTTACGTGGTCCGCAAGCATGGCCATCTTGCGTCCCAAGGGGCCGCAGCTGCATCACTGCCAGTTTTCCGTCTTCCGTTCTCAGCGTGGCTGTCTGGGCCGCCTGGCCTCCAGTGGAATTTGTTGGACTTGGAGCTTGGCCCAGGCTCCTGGCTTCAGTTTCGCTTGTGGGCAGTCGTACGGATGTCGGGGTGCTGGCCGCTCCAAGTCCTCGGGGCCCCACTCTGCGCCCCCACGCTGCCGCGGTGTGCTGGTTGCGAGGCGCTGGAGGTTGACGTCTGGCCCGCTCTTTTCGTTTGCCCCGCGGCGGCAGCGCTTGGGACCTCCATCTGGTCTCGCCTTCCTTTGCCTCCTCCTTCCTCCCCCGCCCCGGCCTCCCAGTTCCTTTTTCGCCAGTCCCGGCCGCCGGCGGAACGCCGCGAGCACGTGCACTTCGTCGCCGCTGCAGCGCTACTGGCCGTCACAGGCACCCGCCCATTTTAATGCGGTGCGCCCGCTTGTCTGGAGCATGGCCGGGGGGGTCGCCGGCGCTGGCCGGCGCCGTCGTGGCCTGCTCCGGGAGACTGACTGCTTGCCTTGCGCCCTTTCCTGGAAAAAACTTCGGTCGCCTTCCCCATCCGCCCCTCGTCGCCCCCTTCCCCCCCCCTTCCCCTCCCTTCCCCCTCTCCCTGCCCCCCCTAACCCCCTCCCCCCCCCTTCCCTGCCCCTCATTCCGTTTGTGCCTTTCTTCTTCTAATTCTTCTTCTTCTTCTTCTTCTTCTTCAATCTGCCCCTCTCTGTAGTTGGCCCTCCTCATAGCTTATGCTTACATATTTGATGGAGCGTACGTCACAGTCGTGATGCGGTCCTTTGCCATGTTTGTGCTGCACAGTCGTGATATGGTCCTTCTCTTGCTCGCGCAAGTGATTGTTTGTGGTGGATTCCCACTAAACTGCTCCCTGGCGTGTCTGGGACACGCGGAAGATCACAGTGCACTTTTTCTATGTTCCTTCATTTCCTGTTTGCCCCCTTCAAAGCTTACGCTCACACATTTGATTGAGTGTGCTCTACTGTCATGATGTGGTCCTTTGCTTCGTTTGTGCTTGACAGTCGCGATGCGGCCCTTGTCTTGCTCGCGCAAAAGATTTGTTGCAGCTAATTCTCACTTAGTTGCACCTCGGCGTCCGTGGGGAAACGCGGAAGATAGCATGTTACGTGGTTGCCTGGAGGGGACACTCCATCGCCCGGTTGCTTTGCCTATTCACAGCTTGTCCTTGCTAACATGTTGTGTTGTGCTTCACAGCCGTGATGCGACCCCTTGTCTTGCATGTGCGTCACAGTCGTGATGCGCTCCGTTGTCTTGCTGCCATCGGTTCCTTACCCTGCCGTGTTTGTGCTGATTTTCATTGCACTTTCTATTTGCCCCTGCGTCTCCACTTTTTGTTATTCTTGCTCCTGCTTCACAGTCGTGATGCGGTCGTCGTGCTTGGGTATCTCCTACCGCTCACAAGGCGCAGCGTGCCGGGTCTATGCCGCAGGTCCTCTCCGATGCATCTGATTTGCCCTCTTTATCTTGTTTGATTTTGCACTCTATTGTCCTTGTTCGCCTCCTTGTTGCTTGTCATGCTCTCCACTCTATTTGCTGCCCGCACGCGCGGGGCCAACCCCCAGGCGCCCCCCGTGGAATGAGGGGGCCAGCCGCTCGCTTTTTTGAGGGCTGGTGCCGTCATTTCGGGGTGCACGTGGGAGTGTGGATCGGCGCGGGCTGCGAGTATTCATCTTCCCACAGGGTGCCCTGCGACGGGCGACGAAAGACCCGACCCTAGACGGGGGCACCCTGCGTTCCATCTCGTCCACCTCTCTCTTGGGGGACGCGCTGGGGCGCCGCGGGGGCCCGCGGGCCGAGCGCGCAGCGCGCGGCGCGCGGCGAGCGCCCGACCTGCGGCCGCCGACGCGGAGGCCCAAAACAAATATATAGCTTCGAACGAGACACCGGCCGTGCTGCCGCGCCCCTTCTGGCGAACAAGAGGCCAGGGAGGAATTTGGCGCGGTCGAGCCTCGCTCTGTCTGTTGCGAAGTCCGACGGCCCAAGGTGGGCAGTCCGGTCCCGCAACCTCCTACCCCTCCCTCTGTTTGTAGTATCATACATAGGCAGCGTCCAGGTACCCGCGCGGCCGCCCGCGGCCGCCGCCCGGGCCCGCGGCGCGCGGCACTCTAGCGCTGCGAGCGCAGTGGGCAGGCCCCAGGGCATGCGGCAAGCGCAGCACAAATGGTGGTCGGGAGCACGCTTGGCACGACATACGCACAAGGTAGGTGGCCTGCCTGGCCCTCGGACTCCTTGGACTCCCTCGGTCTCCTTGGACTCAACCTTGCCCTTGGTCCCGTGTCCAGGGTCGGGGCTGTGACCATGACCGTGACCGCGAATGCAGCCCAACGCCCGTAGCAGACAGCCACCATCCGCCACGCGGCTCGGAGGTCGACCTCAGCGCTGCGCTCAGCGCCCTGATTCCGTCGCAGCCCGCCACCCCGTGCCCATTCCCGGCCGGGCCGCCCCCCGGCGACTGGGGCATCTTCCCGGGTGCGGCGGCGAAGGGCCGCGCGGTTTTGTCCCCGGCTGCGGCGGGGCCCCCTGAGCTGAGCCCGCCGCGCAGCCCGCCAACGAAGTGGATCGGCGCTGGGCCAGAGTCCCCGCCGCCCCCGCCGCCGCCGCCGCCTCTGCCGCCGAAAGCGAGCGCGGCCGACGCCGCCTACACAGGGGCGGCGTCGCCAGCCACCCCGAAGGCCGCGGCGGCCTCGCCCCCGGCTAGCCCGCTGCCCGCGTCGCCGGGCCCGCCGCTTCTGAGCCCGCCGCCCCTTCCGCCGGGGTGGGAGTCCCGGCGTGACTCGGGCAGCGGCGCCTTGTATTTTCAGCATCGCAGCTCAGGTCGCACTCAGTGGGATCATCCGGGCACGGCGCTCGTGCCCATGGCAGCCCCGTTGCCCGTGCCCGGCGCCCCCTCGGCTGTCGGGGGCGCCGCAGGTGGGCGCGCCCCAGCCGTGGCGGGCGCCGCAGGCGGGCCGACCGCGCACTTGGTCAAGGCGCCCCCGCCCAGTTCCTCTCCGCAGCCCGCTTCGAGCGCCCTGAAGGACCACGCCAGTGAGCTGGCAGCTTTGCGCCAAGAGCTCGAGCAGCTCCAAGTTGCCCGCGCGGGCTGGGAAGTGCTGGTCGGCGCGGGGGGTGGGAAAGCGTGGTTACACCGCGCTTCCGGCGTCGTGCGCCCAGACCAGCCCCCCGAACTTGTCCAGTACGCGGCGTGCGCCGCGCGGCTTCAGGAGCGCGTCCGAACGTGCGAGGAGGAGCGCGTCCGCGCATGCGCGGCTGTGGCTACAGTAGTGCGGGGCGTCCGCGGGACCCTGCCGCCAACCCGGCCCGCGCCGCTGGCGTCGCCCCCGCGCGCGCTTCCGCCCGCCTTGTCGCCGCTGCTCTCGGTGCCTATTGCCGCGCCACAGCACGCGCCGCAATTGTCTTGCGCAGCTCCCTCGCCCCATGCGGCGGGCCCCCCCGGGCCCCCCAGTGCGCTGCCGCTGCTTGACCCCGTTGGCTCGGCCGCGGCGGCGCCTGACCCGCGCCAGTTTGCCGCCCTCGGGAGCGAGGCTGAGCTCCGCGAGGCTGTCTCCGGCCGGCTGCACAAAGTCCGCGAGTCCTTCGGGCCAAAGCCCGGGGGCGGCCGCGCGAAGATCGCGGTCTATTTCGCCTCCCGCTGCCACTCGGAGGTTGACCTCCACAATGCTGTCATGGCGATGGGGGTGGCGATTTTGGCCGGCATGCGCCGCGGCGGAGCGGGGAAACAGGTGACCGCAGTGCCCCCCTTCGCCCTTGGGACCGGTGACTTTTCACAGCCTGGCATAGATATCACGTATTCTAATTCGCCCAAGCAGGTTTTGTCCATCCAGCTGCAGAATAAGAAGCAGGGTCGAATTGTCATGCACGCCACCCGCCCTCTCTTTGAAGAGCATATTGAGGAGCTCCTGCTTTTCTTCGGCCTCGTCACGGACATCGAGGGCCCCGAGCCGACGGCCTCGGCGCAGGGGCTTCTTTCGGCGCCAGTGCAGCGCCTCAGTGCACGCGAGTTGCTTCGCCGGCCCCCGTCGGGCGCTGGCACCTAGCGCGGTGCCCTCGCCGGCCCCGGAGCCGGGTGCGCCCGCGCACCGCTGCGCCAGTTGCGCTCCTGCACCTGCGATAGCTTCCAAGCGGGCGCGGGCTCGCCCCCCGCGGGGGCGGGCGCTTCTTTCCAGTTGTCCTGAGCTTTCCTCGCTTCGCATTTCTCAGCTCAGCCGCCGCCCACTGCGGCTGGCACCCAAAGCGGTGTGGCGGTCTGAGGTCACCACCGGAGATGGTTCCGCTGGGGAGCGGAAACCGGAACCGGAAACCGGAAACCGGAAAACGGAAACCGGAAAACGGAAAACAGCGAAGAAGGAAGCGGAGGACGACGGCAAACGACAAGAATCGGAAAACGGAAAATGGAAAACGGAAAACGGAGAAGAAAGACGCGGGGGGTGACGGGAGAGCACCGGAACCGGAAAACGGAAAGCGGAAACCGGAACCGGAAAACGGAAACGGGAAACCGGAAAAGGGAAAACGGAAAACAGCGAAGAGGGAAGCGGAGGCCGACGGGAGACCACCGGAATCGGAAAACGGAAAAAGGAAAACGGCGCAGAAAGAAGCGAGGGACCACGGGAGAGCACCGGAACGGGAAAACGGGAAACGGAAAACGGAGACCGGAACCTGAAACCGGAAACCGGAAAACGGAAAGCAGAAACCGGAAAACAACGACGAGGGAGCCGGGAGCCGACGGCAGACCACCGGGATCGGAAAACGGAAAACGGAAAACGGAAAATGGCGTAGAAGGACGCGGGTGCCCACGGGAGAGCACCGGAACCGGAAAACGGAAAACGGAAAACGGAAACCGGAAACCGGAACCGGAAAACGGAAACCGGAAAACGCAAAGCGGAAAATGGAAAACGGAAAACGGAAACCGGAAACCGTAAAACGGAAACCGGAAAACGGAAAGCGGAAAACGGACAACGGAAAGCGGAAACCGGAAAACGGAAACCGGAAAACGGAAATCGGAGGAGGAGGAGGAAGAGGAGGAGGAGGAGAAAGAGGAGGAAGAGGAGGAGGAGCCTCCCTTCCTCCTCTCTCCCTCCTGCCCCCCCCCCGCCCCTCCTCCCTCCCCGTTCCCTTTGCCAGGCTTCCTCCCTCCCTCCCTCCTGCCTCCCCCCTCGTTGATCCTGCCCTCACCTCCCTGTCTCCGTCCTCGTTCCTTCCTCCTCCTCCTCGTCCCTCTTCCCGAGCGGAGCCGGCGCGCGGGCTGGCCAGACCGAAGGACAACGACGATCTGATTTCAAAAAGCCCCCAAAACGTTCCAAGAGTGCTCCAAGAGGCTTCCGAGACCTCCAAAGAGGCCCCCAAGAAGCCAAACTCCTTCAAACACCAAAAGTAAATTAATGATTTTTGCTTTCTCGCCTTTTCGCTTTTGATGGCCATCCGAAGCCTCAAGGTGCATCCAAAATGGCCCAGGAGAGCCCCAGGAGAGGCCCAAGAGAGCCCCAGGACGGCCCCAAGAGCGCCCCAAGAGCGATCCAAGAGAGGTCCAGGAGGCGATCGTCGGTGCTCCCAAGGGGGGAGGCAAAATGAAGCTCACCTTGTTGTGATCGATGTCCTCCAAGATGGCCCCAACAGCGCCCCTAAAGCTCCCAAGAGCGGCCCAGGAGGGCCCCAAGAGGCGCTCAGGCAGCCCGAAGATGCCTCCAAGAGGCTCCCGAGAGACCCTATACGAGGCCCCAAGAGGATCTCCGAGGTACCCAACTCTCCGTCCTTCTCCTCCTTCTCGTCATCCTCGTCCTCGCCCTACTCCGCCTCCTCCTCCTCCTCCTCCTCCTCCTCCTCCTCCTCCTCCTCCTTCGACGACGACGACGACGATTCCTCCTCCATCCTCCCCCTCCTGCGGTATATGACGGCGTCCCCCGCCGTTTGTTCTTCTGCATGCTCCCCCACTTCTCGTATCATCTCAACTCTCCTGGGCATCGTTTCTGGATGGGCTGGTGGGGATATGTGAAGCGTCAACAATAGCAGCGCGTTCATCGATTACCGATGACAAATCCCACCAGTCCTCTGGGCGGAGGTGGGCTACGGCGTTTCCTCTGGTAGCTTTCCAGAAACCCCTCTCCCTACCCTCTCCCCTGGACCTCGCCGCACCCCCTGCAATATTCTGCAAAAGAGGGGTGCAAAGATTCCGTGCTGACCCTGCAACACCCTGCATCACCTTGGAAAACGACCCTGCAAACCAAACCCCTGCAGTACCATGCAATACCCTGCAAACCACCCTGAAATACCCTGCAAAACGACCGCGCGCCCTCTGGGTGGAGGAGGTCAGAAGCGGTTCCTCCGCACGCTTTCTAATCCCCGAGCCCGCTGGGCGTGAGTGGTCTAGCAAATTGCCTCTTCCAACTCCCCTGCTTCGCCTTCGGGGAGGGGCCTATCATTTTTTCTCATTAGAATGATACCGGAGAAAAAACCCAATCAGGGCTATAGGGCTAGGGGGCTATAGGGCTATTGAGCTATAGGTATATAGAGCTATAGGGCTATAGAATTGTAGGGCTGTTGGGCTATTGGGCTATAGTGCTTAGGGTTATAGGGCTATAGGGCACCCCCGGGCACGCCCGGGCACCCGGGCCCCCCGGCCCCCCCGGGCACCCCCAGGCACCCGGGCGTGCAGCGCAAATCGGCGACAAACCTAACCTAACCATATGAATCCGCTATGACCCCTACAGAAGCAAGCTCTGATTGAGGAATAAACACCCCCTCCCTGGCAGCCAATCTGGATCCATCACGACACCCATGGCAACACCCCCCACAACATCCCTGTCAAAAGCCATACAACATGAACTTTGCCTCTGGAGCCTGGAGCATGCGCGGGCATCCCACGACCACTTAGCATGGGGTCTTGACAAGGACAGCGGCGGCGCCGGCACATTGTTCGCCGCGCGCACATTCGCACACAACAAACCCGCCGTCACTGTGTATGGTTTTTGACAGGGACGGTGGGAGGGTCGACATATTACCCAATGTGGCGCACCTGGTCCGCGTGGCGCAGCTGACATGTGCGGCCCATCTCGCGGGCTTCGCGCACCTGGCTGGCGTTTGCATTGGTTCCCGATAGCTGTCGATGGTGGCCCCTGTCCATGCTGAAACTCGGGTGCTTCTTATGTGTTGGGAGGGCGGGTGGGAACAAGCGAGACGGCTTGTTGCTTGTGGGTAGCTTAATCACTGTTCCCTATTAATAAACACCCCCTCCCCCAGGCGACTGGGGGCCAACCCGAGTCCATGCCGACGCCCCCCCCCACCATCCCTGGTAAAAAAAAACAACAATACAAAACGCACTCTGCCTCCAAATTCGGAACATGCGCAGCCAACCCGATGCGGCCCCCCACACCATCCCTGTCAAAAAACGATACAGAGTACACTTGGCGGCGGCGGCGGCTGCGGCGGCTGCGGCGGCGGCGGCGGCGGCGGCTGCGGCGGCTGCGGCGGCGGCGGCGGCGGCGGCAGCGGGGCGGCGGCGGCGGCGGCGGCGGGTCGGCGTCGGCGGCGGCGGCGGCGGTGGCGGCAGCGGCTGCGGCTGCGGCGGCGGTTTGGCAGCGGGGGGCGGCGGCGGCGGCAGCGGCGGCGGCGGCGGCGGCGGCGGCGGCGGCGGCGGCGGCGGCGGGCGGCGGCGGCGGCGGCGGCGGCGGCGGCGGCGGCGGCGGCGGCGGCGGATTGGCCCCCAGTAGCTCCCCATCCCAAGACGACTGCTGAATATGCTGAGGCTCGGGCCAGACTCGGGTGCTACGTATGTGTTGGGAGGGCGGGTGGGAGTGAGCGAGACGGCCTGCGGGCGGGGAGGGGGTAACTTAACCCCTCCCCCCACCCCCTCCCCTGGACCTGGAATGGAGGTGCCGCGACCGATTTGAGCGTCCAAGAAGGCCTCGGCGAGATTCTACAAATCACTGATTCTCCTGAGGTGTTGGGGGGTGGGGGGGAGAGGCTAAGAAGGACCCCCCTTTTTTGATCGAGCTCTTCCAAGATGGCCCAAAGATGGTCTCCAAGGCTTCCAAGAGTGCCCCAGGAGGGCCCCAAGAGGCGCCCAAGCGGCCCCAAGAGGCCACAAAGAGGTCCCCAGGAAGCTCCCAAGAACCCCCCAAGAGGCCTGAGGTACCAAGACGCTGCAAGAGGGTCCTGGGACCGCCAGGACGCCCCCAAGACGTCCAAGCAGGACTCCAAGAAGCTCTCAAGAGACATACGAAGAGATTCCGAGAGGCATGCAGGAGGCCTCTGGCCCTTCTGCTCACCTCCTCCTCCTCTTCCTCCTCCTCCTTCTCCTATCCTCATCCGCCTATTCCTCCTCCCTCCTCCCTCCGCCCCCCCCCTCTCCCTCTCCCTCATCCTTCTCCTCCTCCTCCTCCTCCTCCTCCTCCTCCTCTTCCTCCCCCCTCTCGTTGTATGACGGCTTCCCCAATCCCTTATTCCACTGCGTGCTCCTCCGTATCCGGGATCAGGGCAACTCGCCTGGACATCGTTTCTGCATGAGCTCGTGGAGTTACGCGAAGCGCCTAGACTAAGATCTTGGCATCTGCGGGCCTAGGGGGTCGGCGGCGTGGCGTAAGCTAGTGAAACATATGTCCAAGAATTCTCGCCGACACCACAGGCAGTGGAAGGCAAGAAACTGAAGCACGCGGGCATCATTACAGACCCTCCGCACAAATCTTTCCGTTTTGCTCTGTCTGACCTGGCCAGTACCATCTTCTGAAGTAGCCTCACGGGATGAGAACTCGGAGAGGGTCGATCCCAGCCTTGGTTAAGTTTCGGCCGAACCTCTCCATGAATGACCCCCGAGCTGTGACCCACGCGCGGCTGGCGAACTCCCACTCGTGGAAGTCAGGCCCTGCTTGCGAGCACTGCATGGCCTGCTCATCGTCACCGAGCGCGAGAACCAGCTAAGCCCAAAGGGAGAGGCGGTTAGGCTCTCCTCGCTCCCGCCATGTGCGTTCGCCAGCGATGCTAGGTGCCCATCGGCGCCT